TGCACACCAGCAGCAGCTCTGCCCTAATCTCTCCTGCTCAGCTGTTCCTTGGGCTTATATGGTCCTCAAAGCACCCCCCCCCACAATGGGGTGTGCACCACATGTTTTGACATGATGCCAAGATCTGATGCTGTCAAGAACAAAAGACCTCAGACTTAAGCCAAAAGGCATGTCTGACAGCTATTTGCCAAGGCAAGGTGTGACCATTTAATTGGTTAAATTAGGTGTCCCTTAGCAACCTCAAAAGCACAGTTGAACTACATCACAGGATTGTGTTTGGTGTATGACTGTGTATGTGTAGTTTGCGTGTGACACGTAGTCTACAGTGTATGCATCTCTTGAGTTTATAAAGCCGAAAGAGTGCAATTCTTGCTATAGTTGTCTTAAATATGCCACCATAGGCCCAAAGAAAGCTCCTTGTGCCAGTCCTTTGGTAAAGAAAGTGAGGAACATGATAGAATTAAAGAAAGAAATCGTAGCAAATTACCAAAGTGGAGGAGGAAGAGAGAGGGGAGAATGTATCTTCTTCAGTGATTCAGTGATTCTACGATACGTACAATACTAAAGCAGCATGAGTCTATAAAGGCTATAGCACCAGCCAGCAATAAAGTGTAGCATTAACAGTGTAGCAAGTAAGTTCAGTGATTAATCGATAGAAAAAGGACAGCATGAATCTAACTCCTCCAATATTGTTGGAGTTATGTAAAGCTACTGACAACACCACCACCTCCACCACCATGTATGGCTTATGCTCTCAGTGGCCCTTATACACCCAGCAACAACAACACAACACCACTCGTGACATACATAAGGACATATTTTATTCTAGAGTATATATCATGTTTCTATGTTATTAATATTTATTATGTCATAGTAGATGAATTGTGATAGATGAGCTGTAGATTTGATATTAGTGTCATATTGAAGCATACTGTCCTGTCTCTAACAATAAACTTGCCCCCCCCCCCCAGTCTGCCACACACTTTCAATAAAGGAAAGCGTGATGTTAAATGTCATTTATACGTTTTATTAGTGATTTATATTTATTTGTCATTCTTTTCTTCATGTAAATCTATAAGGTAAATTTTTTTTTTTAATACTTCTTGGTGTTGGAAATGGATTACTTGGATTTACATTATTTCTTATGGGGAAAATGGTTTGTGTTTTCTCCGATTTCCATTTTTGCCAGTGTCTCTGGAACAGATTAAACATGAAAACCAATGGTCCACTGTATAACATGTTTTAGCCCAAGCCCACTCCTTAGACCTCCATGGTAATCTACCAATCTTCCTTGCTGCTTTATTATCTGACAGACATTTTTGTGTCCGTGTTTGTGCCTTGCTTTCCTCAGACTTTGTTCAAGTCCCACAATGTTGCGCTTTTAGCACTACCTTTTTTCTTGTAGCTATAAATGACCTACGTTACATTCTTCCATCGCATATTTGGTCGTCACTTTACGTGGATGGCTATGCTGTAGCTTACTCTGGCACTGACTGTCGCCTGGTAGCGGCCTCTTTTCAGGATGTGATTGACTGAGTTTCCCATTGGGCCACTTCTCATGGCTTTAAATTTTCTAGTATGAAAACCCATTTCATTACCTTCACTAGACGTTCTCTTATCCCAGATATTCCATTGTATTTACACAGCTCACGTATTCCAGAGTGTGATACGGTCAAGTTTCTTGGCCTTCTCTTCAATCCCTGCTTGACATAGAAACCTCACATTTCCTCTTTGAAGGCAGCTTGCTATGGTCAGCTGAATCTTCTTAAAACTCTTGCACATCATCCATGGGGAGCAGATCGCCGAACTCTCCTCCATTTGATTTCCACCCTAGTCTTGTCCAAGCTGGATTATGGCAACCAAGTGTATTCTGCAGCTTCTACAACTCTTTCTAAGTTAGGTTCCCCTTCATCATCAGGGTCTATGTTTATGCCTTGGTGTCTTTCATTCATCCCCTGTTGGAAGCTTCTATGTAGAAGTGATTGTTCCTTCCTTAGCTGATTGTTGTGATGCTCATTGTCTTCGTTACTTTGTCCGTGATCATGACCTTCGTGTTTCTTCTACATATAGGCTGGTCTCAGATGTTAGTAGAAGCCCATTGTTTATTCGGCGCCCCTGCCTACTCTGTTTTCTCCTCGTCTTCACTCACTCTGGTATTCTCTCCAGTTGCCTTCCTTGTATGTTCATTTATCGTCTGCCTTTTCCCTTCCCCCTTGGGAAGTTTGGACAGTTCATGTCTGTTCTCCCCTACTGCCATGTGCCAAAGCTCTCCTGCCTACGACTGCTTCTCTCTCTTTTTCTCGATCACTTCTGGTCACATGCTCATGCCGTCGCTATTTATACAGATAGTTCTAAATCTTCTGACAGTGTTGGGTTCGAAGCAGTGTTCCCTGACAATGTTGTCCAAGGTCATTTGTTAGACTCGGCTAGTATTTTTACTGCTGAGTTGTATGCCATCCTCATAGCGCTTCTTCGTATTGCATATATTTCTCCTTTGACATTTGTGATCATTTCAGATTCCCTCAGTGTTTTACAAGCCATTAAACAATTTGATTCCCCTCATCCATTAGTCCTTCATATTCAGCTATGGTTGCACTGTGTGGCTAGCAAAAGCAAAGACATTTTCTCTTAGGTTCCTGGACATGTTGATGTGCAGGGCAGTGAACAAGCGGATGCTGCTGCATGGTCAGGGGTGCATGATCTTCCAGTTTCCGTTAAGAGATTATTTTCCATCATCTCAGCCTGTCTTCACAGCTGTTGTCAACAACGGTGGTCGGGCATTCACCATAACAAATTGCGCTCTTTTAAACCACTTTTAGGTTTATGGCCATCTTCTTACCACCGTTGCCATACTCGGGAGACTGCACTCTCCTGGCTCCACATTGGCCATACTCACCTTACCCATGGGTATCTCATGGAACAACATTCTATTCCTCTCTCTGAGGTTCGTCGGGTCCTTATTTTGGTTCTTCACTTTGTTGTAGATTGCCTGGTTTACCAGCAAGCTCGCAGGATTTGCCTCCAACGATGCCACCGCCCTACCACTCTTACCTTATCTTCCCTTCTTGCAGATGGCCCAACCTTTGACTTGCAATCGCTTTTTGATTTTGTCTGCAACTGCTTTACTGTATGAACTTTGACATACAATGGACCCTCGATATTCGATGGCATCGGTATTCGATAAATCCGGTTTTCGATGCATTTTAACGCAAAAAATTTTCCTCGGTATTCGATTGAAAACCCGGTATTCGATACGATTCGTACGAGACCTGTCCACGTGTGGTCTGAACTGCTCCTTGTGTGCTAGTGTTTACAAGCCAGCCAGTGTGCGCGCATTTAAGGATACATTTGGTACATTCCATATTATCCATATTATCACTGTGTTTGGTGCTTGTTTCTGCAAAATAAGTCACCATGGGCCCCAAGAAAGCTTCTAGTGCCAACCCTTCGAGAAAAAAGTCGCTAATGATTTATGAAATGAAGAAAGAGATAATTGCAAAGTACGAAAGTGGAGTGTGTGTGTGTCGGAGCTGATCAGGTTGTATAATAAACCCCAATCAACCATCTCTACTATAGTGACCAGGAAAACGGCAATCAAGGAAGCTGTTCTTGCAAAAGGTGCAACTGTGATTATGAAACAGCGACCGCAAGTGTTAGAAAATGTTGAGAGATTGTTACTGGTGTGGATAAATGAAAAACAGATAGCAGGAGATAGCATCTCTCAAGCGATCATTTGTGAAAAGGCTAGGCAGTTGCATGACGGTTTGGTAAAGAAATTGCCTGCAACTAGTGGTGATGTGAGTGTATTTAAGGCCAGCAAAGGTTGGTTTGAAAGATTTAAGAATCGTAGTGGCATACATAGTGTGATTAGGCATGGTGAGGCTGCCAGTTATGTTGTGCGACAGAAGTCCAGTGACTCAAGCTGGTCCTAGTGGCATTAAAAGAAGAAGGGAAGTAACCCCAGAAAAGGACTTGCTACCTCAAGTCCTAATGGAAGGGGATTCCCCTTTGAAACACTAACACCTCTCCCCTCTTCCCATCCCATCAATCATCACCAGATCTTCATTAAAGGTAAGTGTCAATTATTTTATTGTTATTGTAATTATTCTATTGCATTAAACTTAATATTTCATGTAGTAAAAATTTTTTTTTTCATACTTTTGGGTGTCTTGCACAGATTAATTTGATTTCCATTATTTCTTATGAGGAAAATTGATTCGGTTTTCGACATTATCGGTATTCGATGAGCTCTCAGGAACGGATTAATATCAAATACCGGGGGTCCACTGTATAGCCCTTAGCATCCCTTCCAGCCCTTCTCTCCCCTCACCTCTGATTCCCTCTCTACCTAGCTGTTTATAGCCTCAGCGGTATTTTCTGCCCCCCAGCACTGTATGACCCTTGTCGGTTTAGCGCTTTCTTTGATTATAATAATTTGAGCTGTAACTTCCATGCTCATAAACATTTTATATGTAACTGTCGTATACTGTGATGGCCCTGTGAACTCCACACACATTTATCATGGCAGTTCTGCAAGATCATCCCTTCACGTTCTTGTTTAATTACTTTCCACACTTTATTATCAGTTGTTAAAATATTCAGCATTTGTAAAGTGAACGACTGTTAAGGGTACAGCAGTGTGTAGTTATAGTGCAGCTATTGGATGGTAGCCTTCCTCTACTGCCTTTAGTTACTTTTCCTGAATTTACTGCATATGGAATAATCAGTACAGTGTGATAATCAAAAATATTCTGCAATTTTTCGACCATCATATAGCAAGAACGTACTAATAGATCGTGTCTTGATCGGCAGTCTGCCGTACACCATGTAGGATTTTTATAAATAAATATCTACTGTGTAGATATGTATTACATATAACTGTAAGTTTCACTTATTAAAATTGGTTAAAATTTCCATTAGAAAGAAAATCTTACTAACTTTCAGTTCGTTATGTTGTATCAAAGAATATTGTATTATTCTGACTCTTTGTTCTGTTCCAGATGCTTTTTGTGAACCACACTACCTGACTGCATCTTCACACACACCAAATCTCTAGTTCTACAAGAAGTTCTGGTCTAAGGATAACACCTGTTACTTTTGTGAATTTGTACTGGTCAGGTATTACAAAGTAGACAGTTTTGCCCTTGATATTGTCAAACTCTTGATAAATATGGATGAACACATAGAAGATAAACCACATCAGTGTTCAGTGTGTCTAAAATCATTTCGTGACAGAAGTAATCTTCTGAAACATTTGCGAATACATACCGGAGATAAACCATATCAGTGTCCAGAGTGTCTGAAAGATTTTAGTCAAAAAGGCCACCTTGTGACACACATGCGAGTACATACAGGAGACAAACCGTTCCAGTGTTCAGAATGTTTGAAAGATTTTAGTACAAATGGCAATCTTGTGAAACATATGAGAGTGCACACAGGAGATAAACCACATCAGTGTTCAGTGTGTGAGAAATCTTTTAGTGAGAAAGGCAGCCTTGTGATACATATGCGTGTACATACTCGAGAAAAACCTTATCACTGTACAGAGTGTCTGACATATTTTAGTGCAAAAAGTAGTCTTGTGACACATATGCGAATGCATACAGGTGATAAGCCATATCAGTGTACAGAGTGTCCAAAATGTTTTTACACAAAAAGTAGTCTAGTGAAGCATATGAGAGTACATACAGGAGATAAACCATACCGGTGTTCAGAATGTCTGAAATATTTTAGTTCAAGTGGAAATCTTGTGACACACATGCGGTTACATACTGGAGATAAACCATATCAGTGCTCAGAATGTCTGAAATGTTTCAGTCAGAATGGCAGCCTTGTCAAACATATGAAAGTACACGCTCGAGATAAACCATTTCAGTGTTCAGAGTGTCCAAAGTATTTTAGCAAAAAAGGCAATTATGAAAGACATAAGCTAGTACATATAGGAGATATGAAGCCTATCAGTATTCAGGGTGTCTGAAATATTTTTTTGCCATATAGGCCACTTTGTGAAGCACTTTGGAATGTATGTACAAGAGATAAAGGAGATTAGTGTTTAGTGTATCAGAAATAATTTAGTTATTGACAAGTCTTGTGAAAAAAATGACAATGTATTAATGAGACACGTTTTCAGTGATCATAGTGAAGGATTTAAGTTCATTCATGCAAAGTATATAAGTTCATAGAGGAGATAAATACCATTAATATTCAAAGCATCATATATGTATGTATGTATATACATGTACAGTGGTACCTCGGGATATGAATTTAATTCTTTCCAGAAGGCTGTTAGAGTGCTGATACCGAACGAATTTGTTCTCATAAGAAATAATGTAAATTAGATTAATGCATTTCAGACCCTCAAACATACACTTTCAAAAACACTTACATAAATACACTTACATAATTGTTCGCGTTTTGAGCTGTTCATACCCCGAGCACCACTGTATATGTTTAAGGAAGAGATCAAAATAAAATGTGTGATAGGAACTATATAAAAAAGAATTATACTGCAAACAATAAAGAGGCCAATCTGAGCACTTTCATGAGCCTACACACATTTTGTCAGAGGACTGGTAAGAGAGACATTTTATGTTACAAAGTGAGGTGATACTTAAAAGTTGTATTTGAAAGTACCCATATATAACTAGTGAAAATCGACAGGAAGGGGAATTTGTGCAGAGAACATATGGAAATAATGCATGGCATTCATTAAAAAATCACAAAACAATGTATGCAAGTATGAGAAATATCTGTAAGCACAGATTTTTATTGTAGTCACTCAATTTTTCTTCAATTTCTTCCTTCACAAATCCCATGCATTCTTACCATACGTTCACTGTGCAAATTCCCCTACTTGTCTGTTTATTTTTGCTATTTATGTATCTATAATTTCAAATTAAGCTTTGAGATATAACTTCATTATGTATATACCAGTAGGTAGTAGGTTGGTAGACAGCAGCCACCCAGGGAGGTACTACCGTCCTGCCAAGTGAGTGTAAAACGGAAGCCTGTAATTGTTTTACGTGATGGTAGGATTGCTTGTGTCTTTTTTCTGTCTCATAAACATGCAAGATTTCAGGTACATTTTGTTACTTCTACTTACACTTAGGTCACACTACACATACATGTACAAGCATATATATACATACCCCTCTGGGTTTTCTTCAATTTTCTTTCTAGTTCTTGTTCTTGTCTATTTCCTCTTATCTCCATGGGGAAGTGGAACAGAATTCTTCCTCCGTAAGCCATGCATGTCGTAAGAGGCGATTAAAATGCCGGGAGCAAGGGGCTAGTAACCCCTTCTCCTGTATATATTACTAAATTTGAAAGGAGAAACTTTCGTTTTTCCTTTTGGGCCACCCCACCTCGGTGGGATACGGCTGGTATGTTGAAAGAAAGAAAGATGTATATACCATTAAAATGTACCTCTCTTGCCTGTTGCTCTGAAGGTCCTCACCTAGTTGTGGTTGCAGGGGTCGAGTCACAGCTCCGGGTGGTGTGTGTGTGTGTGTGTGTGTGTGTGTGCGTGCATGCATGTGTAAGAACATGAAAGTACTCAGGTTTTCCTGTTCATTTTTTCATTGTGGTACATCATATATTTGTATGTATGTATATGTATATACAGTGTAGGTGGTATAAATATGCATGCACTTGAACACATCACACAGAAAACAACACTGCCTACCATAAGCTATTCTTTTAAATATATAATACATACACACACACACACAAACATAAGTGAAAAAATATATCTTTAAACATATATAAGAAAATTTTAAAAAGGACTTCATTTTAAATGAGTTCCTGTTTTACCTATTCGGCACAGGATTATATATAGAGTGGTCCCTCGTTTATCGTCCTTAATCCGTTCCTGGAAGTGGGACGATTATTGAAATAGATGATTTTCGAATCAATTTTCCCCATAAGAAATAATGTAAATACAATTAATCCGTTCCTGACACCCTGAAGTATTAAAACAAAAATTTTTTTTACATGAAATATAGATGTAGTACATAAACAATACAATGGGACATGATGAATGAAACGTTAACAGCATAACACTTACCTTTATTGGCGATTCTTCTTGGTGTATGGAAGACTGGAGGAGGAGAGAGATTGTATTACTGTTTGGAAGGGGAATCCCCTTCTATCAACACCTCAGGTACCAAGTGCTTTTCTGGGGTTACTTCTCTTCTCTGTTTCTTAATGCCACTAGGACCAGCTTGAGAGTCACTGGAGTCCTGTCTCGCAAAATAACTGTGCAGAGAGCTCTGTTTCTGGCGTCTCTTTAAAACTTCCCTAAAATGGGCCAAGACTCTGTCACTGTACAAGTTGCCGATATGGCTTCCAACTTCCTTCTCAGGGTGATGTTTCTCCATAAATCTTTCCATCCTACCCCACATTTCAAAACTCTCCTTAATTTCTGAAGAAGGCACCTTCTTCCATCTCTCTTCCTCCTTCTCTGCAGCAAAATTCTGAGCTGTGATCTGTTGCTGTTCCTGTTGAAGCTCTTGCAGCTCCTCTCCTCTTCAATGGGGGCTCCTTGGCATGGTGAAGAGGCTCTTGGTCTGAGGAATTAGACCTGTTGGTCTTCTTTCTCAGACCGAACCTAATTACCCCCAATCCCCCCTCCCTTATCCCATCCTCCCTTTTCCTTTTCTTCCTCCTCCTCCCCACTCCTCCCTATTACCCTTCCTTTTTTTTTTTTTCCACAGGCACGCTAGTTCCTAGGTAGGGGAAAGGGTACTGGGGTCCATCCCATTCCATTGAGGTTCTTGGTGGTGGTGTAGTTTGCCGTGGAATCTGGATCACCTGGGGATGTCCCAATCCCTCTCCGGTCTCGCAGGGAGTGGCTTTGGGTATCTTTCAGGCAACGGGTGTATCTCTGGAGGCTGCCTTTCAGATTCCGGGGGTGGTGGCCAAAGGAGGTATGCTCTGTGGCGAATATCCGGCCGCCCTCTCTTTTGTCCACCGAGGTAGCTCGGCAGATGTGAGGTTGCTATCCCGGATTGCTGGTTTACTGGCATGATGGGTAGGGTATGGAACGGGTTCCATGCTGCATCTGCACTACTTGCGGTGCTGAGGTCCTCTTGGGCAGAGGGAGATTTCTGGCCTTCTCATTCCTCCCAGGAACTATCCCCCTCCAGTCCCCCCTTTTTTATTCTTTTTTTTTTATTTTTATTTTCTTTTCTTTTTTTTTTCTTAAAAACAAAAAGAAAGAAGTAACCTAACCATGGAAGCCCTAGTCCATGAACCTGCTACCCCCGGGCACCTTCTTGATACTGCATCCCGTTCTGACCCCGCCTTATCTTTGGACCACTCTTTGGGCACTCTAATGCCTCTGTACCTCTTGCCGGTGCTGTTTCCTCACCCGCTTCAGGTACTGAGGTCTCGACTGACTCCTTCGATTTATCTGACCTCCGTTCTCCTTTGACTATGCTTCTGGCCTCTCCCTCTACGGTACGGCAATTTTCGAATCGCCGGCCCGTTCCACGTCGGACCAACTCTGGTCCCACTCCTAAACTCCAACGACAATTACCTGCTGATGATACTTCTCCACCTTCTCGTTCTTCTCAGAAAAGATCGACACGTCCTGCATTCCCTTTCCATGCTCAGTTTCAGAATGCACAATTGACTAAATTCTTCACTTTTTGACCGACTTCCTCTATTGCCTATCTTTCCGACCATAGTATTGGCAAGGCACTCCTACGCCATGTTGGTAAAGATATTTCTTTTCATGCTCTTAAGAGCGGTATGTGCATCATCACTGTACAGAATGCTACCCAGGCTCATGATCTTTCTCTTCTTTCCCATATCAATACTGTTCCTGTCACTATTGAAAAACATCATTCCCTCAATTCTTGTAGTGGTACCATCATTCTGCCCCATACCATAGCTCAACAAAATTTCCAGACATGTGGCAATGACATTCTTGAACAGCTGGAACTCCAAGATCTCCCAATCCTCAAGGTAGACACTTATGTTCTTCCTGCCCGCGGGCGGAGACGATACCCTAGCAAAGTGGCTCATTTAACTTTTGACAGCCATGAACTCCCATCCTCAGCTTATGTAGCAGGACATCGGTTACAAGTTCGAAAGCTGATCCCTACACCGCAACAGTGTAGAAATTGCTGGCGATTTGGCCATCCAACGAAATATTGCAGATCTATAGCCGAATGCCCAGTCTGTGGTGCCGATGACCATTCTAATACGCCTTACAATCGACCTCCCTCTTGCCTTAATTGTCATGAGGCTCACCCTTTGTACTCTCACCGTTGCCAAGTCTACTTAAATGAGTGGGAAATGCATTACCTCAAAGAGGCAGAAGGTCTCCCTTATGCCATGGCAGTTTCTCATCTCTGCCTCCAAGGGAGACTACCTCGTGTTTCTTATTCCCGTGTTTCAAAATGTCCCCCTACTTCTGGGGTCCCATCTTCTGCAGCATCCTCTGTGGTTACCTCTCCCATAGTCACTCCTGTATCTAATTCTTTTGCTGTCCTGGGCTCAGATGTCCCTACTTCAATCGCTTCTTCATGTTCTCCCTCACAAGCATCGGTATCGACGAGATCTCGTACGACACCTCTTCCCAATCGTCCCTCTACTTCTCAGAAGTCAAAAAAAGGTCCTTTAACCCCTCCTTCCCTTCCACCTCCTCATTTTACCTTCCCTGTCTCTGTACCTGGTTCTTCCCCTCTCACTGGCTCTGTTACAAGTGTAGAGGTTCACCCTCCTCATACTGTACCTTCCTCCCCTGTTCCCTCCCAAGTTTCTTCCTCTTCTGCCACCTCCCAGGTTTCTGCCTCTTCTGTCCCCTTCCATGCTTCTTCTCCAGTTCCCTCCACCCTTTCACCCCCCCCTACCTTGGTACAGTCCATTACAGTTCCAGTCTTTACTCATCCTCCCCCTACCATCTCCAATATTGTCTCCCATATGACGTCTCTGAATTCCGAAACACTGCAATCTCTGAATATATTGCAGAGACCAACCCATCAATGGACACTGATCCACCCTCTGTTCCTTCTCGCTCCTCTCCTCCATCTTCGCAGCGCACCGTTCCTTTGCTGCTTGAACGTTTTCCGCTGCCTCCGCATGTGGACTTTTCTAACCCCTCTAGTCCATAGGAACCCTTACCTGCAGTTTTCAGGTATCTTTATCATTGCCAATCATGGCCTATTTACAGTGGAATATACACGGCCTCTGGGGTAATCGGGGTGAGCTTCAAATGTTACTCTCCCAGTTTTCCTCTGTTGGTGTTTGCTTACAGGAACCAAAATTACACTCTGCTGTTATCTATCCCATCTCAGGCTATAATATATTGTATTCTTCAGATCCTTTTCCTAATGAGACCTTTAATGAAAGTGCCCTTCTTCTACGCACTGATATTCTGTACCATCAGCTATTTGTTCGTACTTCGCTGCATTACACAGCAGCCCATATCGACTTGCATAGGTGGTATACGCTCTGTTCTTTGTATCTCTCTCCTTCTCGGGCATTATCTATTCTGGATATTGCCTTTCTTGTTTTCTCATTACCGCCACCGCTTCTGTTATTTGGCGATTTTAATGCCCATCATTTCCTCTGGGGGGGTCTCACTGTGATTCCCGTGGCATTCAGTTACAGGCTTTTCTTGCTACGCACCCCCTCCATGTTTTAAATACAGGTACTCGCACCCATTTTGATCCTCGGACTCTCACATCTCTTGCATCGATCTCTCAGTCTGCTCTTCCTCCGCCGCATTAGACTTCACCTGGTCTTTTCTCCCGGATTTACATGACAGTGATCATTTCCCAATCATTCTTACTTCCCCTTCATATTCACCACCTTTTTGTACCCCACGCTGGCAATTTGATCAGGCAAGTTGGAACCTTTACTCACAACTAACTGTTTTTAGTGAGGTTCCTTCCTTGCCCTCCATTGATGAGCTTTTACACCTCTTCTCATCCTCTGTTTTAACCACAGCTTCTCATTCTATACCCCAAACTTTGGGCAGGCATTCTCAGAAATGCATGCCTTGGTGGTCTCCTGCTTCTGCTCGTGCAATATGTTTGAAATGCGCTGCGTGGGGCAGGTACCGGTACAATACAACCACAGAGAGACTTCTTGATTTTAAGCAGAAGCGTGCGATTACTCGCCGTGTCATCCATGACACTAAAAGCACTTGCTGGCGAGATTATATCTCCACCATCACCTCTGCTTCCTCTATGAGTGCAGTCTTGAAAAAAGTATGAAAACTGAGTGGTAAATATTCTCCTGACCCGGCTCCTGTTCTGCGGGTTGCCGGTGTTGATATAGCAAACCCACTAGATGTTGCCAATGAAATTGGCAATCATCTGGTCTGTATTTCTCAGGGACTCCATCTATGCCCCTCATTTGCTTCCTCAAAGTCTGCCAGAGAGTTAGCACCCTTGGACTTTTCTTCTCTCAGAGAAGAACAGTATAATGTGCCTTTTACACTTCAAGAACTGGAGGCAACACTCTCAGCTTGCCAATCATCGGCAGCTGGGCCCGACGTCATTCATATTCGTATGCTACAACATTTACATCAGTCAGCCCTTGCAGTCCTATTACACCTTTACAGTCTTATTTGGTCACAAGCAGTTCTTCCACAGCTGTGGAAATCCGCCATTGTTCTCCCTTTCCACAAACCAGGCACTACGAGACATGAAGCCTCCCACTATCGTCCCATTGCTCTTACCAGTGCAGTTTGCAAAGTGATGGAATGCCTAGTAAATAGACGTTTAGTGTGGTATTTAGAGACACACAATAGTCTCTCCACTCGTCAATATGGCTTTCGTAAGGGACGTTCTACCATAGACCCCTATCCCGAACCGTCATCCCGGATATGACCATCCAGAAATCATTCTAGATAATCATTATCATCCCGGACAGGCCCCCATATATTACAAAAAAGTAATTTTTAAAAGATGGTGATATGATTTACTCCTTTTGTAATAAAGAGTTCGGGATACATAAATACACACATTAATAAATTAATCTTTAATATATAAAAATCAACTATCTTTGGTCTAGAGGTATTTGAACTATGATATAATAATAATATGTACATGTTACTATAATAAATTATAATCAGCATTTTACTAAAATAATAAATAATTAATAACCCTACACAGGGTACAACTCTTGACACTATTGTGTCACTATATATATATATATATCTCTATGCTAAAATAATAAATTATAAATAACATTTGTATAATAATAAATTACAATCAACTGCTTCTCACGACACGAGGCCAGTCACACGATACTATTCAGTGTACACTACAACCAGGCCATCTTCAGTGTCCCACGACACCCTTTTCATCTCAGTGTTCCACTACGGTCCTGTGCATATCTCAGTGTTCCACTCCATCATACGTTCCTAAGTGTCACACTACGGTCCTGGCCCAGTTCAGTGTAACACTCCAACCTTTTCTTCATGTAATGTCCCACCAAACAGCATCTGATGATTCCGGCCCACAGTTGATCAGCGTAGACGGTGAGTCCACAGACATCACCGGTAGTCCAGTAAATCCTCTCCAAAGGCGGTTGACACACCGCTAGCCGAACACCATGCTGCAAGCTCACTGAATGCGGCCGTCAAGTAACTGAGGCCAACAGACTCAGTGAGCTGCGGTGAGCGGTTCTTCTAACGCCAGTAGATAGGTACGATTCGGTGGTCAGGTACCTACTGCATAGACGTGTACCCTGAGGAGTTCAGGTACTTAATGTTGAAGCCAGTAGACGTGTACCCTTAGGTGTGCAGGTACCTACTGCTTAGGTGCATATCCTGAGGCGCTCAGGTACATACTGTTACTAAAGCCAGTAGACTGTACCCTTAGGTGGTCAGGTACCTACTGCTTAGATGTGCACCGTGAGGCACTCAGGCTCTTACTGCTCTAAGGCCGGCTCAGCAGCCCCCACATTGGGTTTGATGACGTACCCAGTGGTACTGCCGGCCGGCAGGTTAACTATTTAACCGCTAGTTTGGCAGGGGCCGCAACACTTGGATACATATGTTCGTAATGCCTTTGCGAATAACCACTCAGTTTTTGACATTTTTTTTGACCTTGAGAAGGCATATGACACAACTTGGAGGTATAATATTTTAGCCCAAGCCCACTCCTTAGGCCTTTGAGGCAATCTACCATCCTTAAGAACTTTTTAACTGACAGGCTTTTCCGTGTTCGGGTTAATAATGTGCTCTCCCCGGACTTTATCCAAGCTGAAGGTGTCCCCCAGGGATGTGTTCTGAGCACAACACTTTTTCTCCTTGCTATTAATGATTTGTCCTCTAGTCTTCCATCAAATATTTGGTCATCACTCTATGTTGATGACTTCGCTATTGCCTGTGCAGGCGCTGACTGTCACCTCATTACAGTTTCTCTCCAGCATGCAGTCGACCGTGTTTCCAATTGGGCCACCACACATGGGTTTAAATTTTCCAGCACTAAAACCCACCAAATTACTTTCACTAGACGCTCTGTCATCTCCGATTATCCTTTGTACCTCTATGGCTCCTGTATCCCTGAACGTGATACAGTCAAGTTTCTGGGCCTCCTCTTTGACCGTAGGTTATCCTGGAAACCTCACATTACCTCTCTGAAGGCAACTTGTCACAGCCGGCTGAACCTTCTTAAAACCCTTGCTCATCTTTCATGGGGAGCTGATCGTCAAACCCTCCTTCGCCTACATTCCACCCTCATTTTATCGAAACTTGATTATGGTGACCAGATCTATTCAGCGGCATCTCCTGCTACTCTCTCTAGCCTTAACCCCATTCATCACCAAGGATTATGTTTATGCCTTGGTGCTTTTCGCTCTTCCCCTGTCGAGAGCCTCTATGCAGAAGCGAACGTTCCATCCTTATCCGATCGCCATGATGCCCATTGCCTTCGCTACTATGTACGCTCTCATGATCTCCGCAATCCTTCCATTTATAGAATGGTCACTGATATTAGTAGACATTCTTTATTTGTTTGCCGTCAATTACCACCTTTCTATGTTCATGTAGCATCTCACTTTTCCCTACCCCCCTGGGAAGTTCCAGCTGTTCGAGTCTGTTCTTTCTCTCTCCCTTGCTCAAAAGCCCAACTGTCTATGGTCGCTTCCCGCTCTCTTTTTCTTGACCACTTTCACTCTCATTCTCATGCCATTGCTGTGTACACAGATGGCTCTAAGTCTTCTGACGGCATAGGATTCGCAGCAGTGTTTCCGGACAGCATCGTACGAGGGCATTTACTGTCTTCGGCTAGTATTTTTACTGCTGAATTGTATGCCATTCTTGCAGCACTTATCCGTATTGCATCTATGCCTGTGTCATCATTTGTGGTTGTCTCAGACCTCCCTTAGTGCTTTACAGGCTATACAGAAATTTGATACACCTCACCCCTTAGTCCTCCGTATGCAACTTTGGCTACGCCGCATCATTACCAAGCATAAAGATATTGTTTTTTGTTGGTTCCCTGGTCATGTTGACATACAGGGCAATGAACAGGCAGACACTGCTGCGCGGTCAGCAGTACATGACCTACCAGTTTCATATAGAGGTATTCCATTTACGGACTATTTTGCTGCAATATCTTCCCACCTTCACACACGTTGGCAACAACGTTGGTCTACTATGCTTGGCAACAAACTTCAATCTATTAAACCGAGTATAGGTTACTGGCCGTCTTCTTATCACCAGTGTCGAAGTTGGGAGACTACTCTCTTCCGTCTTCACATTGGCCATACTCGTCTTAATCATGGATATCTTATGGAGAGGCGCCCTGATCCTCTCTGTGTGAATTGCCAAGCTCCATTATCAGTCAGCCACATTCTGTTGGACTGCCCACTTTATCAATGAGCACGCAGAATTTGCCTCCGTCGTCGTCTTCGCTCCGCTGCTCTCTCTTTACCTTCCCTTCTCGCTGATGGACCAACCTTTCATCCGGACTCTCTCATTGACTTTTTGACAACAACTGACTTACTTCACAAACTCTGATACCTTCAGCCCTTTCTACTTCAATCTCTTGCTACCCTCTACCCCCGTACTATCCCCTGTCCCGCTGTTTTCTGTAACCTACTGATCATCCCTCCTCCCTTCTGCCATCCAATACCCTCGCTTCCTTCCCTACCCTGCAGTGCTGTATAGCCCTTGTGGCTTAGCGCTTCTTTTTTATTATAATAATAATTCGCTTGGATACGTATGTTCGTAATGCCTTTGCAAATAACCACTCAGTTATTGCCATATTTTTTGACCTTGATAAGGCATGTGACACAACTTGGAGGTATAATATTTTGGCCCAAGCTCACTCCTTAGGCCTCCGAGGCGATCTACCATCCTTCCTTAAGAACTTTTTAACTGACAGACATTTCCATGTTCGGGTTAATAATGTGCTGTCCCCGGACTTTATCCAAGCTGAAGGTGTCCCCCAGGGATGTGTTCTGAGCACAACACTTTTTCTCCTTGCTATAAATGATTTGGCCTCTAGTTTTACAATATTTGGTCATCACTCTATGTTGATGACTATTGCCTGTGCAGGCACTGACTGTCGCCTCATTACAGTTTCTCTCCAGCATGCGGTCGACCGTGTTTCCAATTGGGCCACCACACATGGGTTTAAATTTTCCAGTTCCAAAACTCACCAAATTACTTTCACTAGTTGCTCTGTCATCTCCGATCATCCTTTTATCTCTATGGCTCCCGTATCCCTGAACGTGATACAGTCAAGTTTCTGGGCCTCCTCTTTGACCGTAGGTTATCCTGGAAACCTCACATTACCTCTCTGAAGGCAACTTGTCACAGCCGGCTGAACCTTCCTAAAACCCTTGCTCATCTTTCATGGGGAGCTGATCATCGAACTCTCCTTCGCCTACATTCCACCCTCATTTTATCGAAACTTGATTATGGTGACCAGATCTATTCAGCGGCATCTCCTGCTACTCTCTCTAGCCTTAACCCCATTCATCACCAAGGATTATGTTTATGCCTTGGTGCTTTTCGCTCTTCCCCTGTCGAGAGCCTCTATGCAGAAGCGAATGTTCCATCCTTATCCAATCGCCGTGATGCCCATTGCCTTCGCTACTATGTACACTCTCATGATCTCCGCAATCCTTCCATTTATAGAATGGTCACTGATATTAGTAGACATTATTCACCGCCCGTTTACTCCATCCCTTCTCTCTTCGCCTACATTCGCTCTTGTCTTCTCTTCAGTTACCACTTTTCTATATTTATGTAGCAGCTCACTTTTCCCTACCCCCCTGGGAAGTTCCAGCTGTTCAAGTCTGTTCTTTCACTCTCCCCCTTGATCGAAAGCCCAACTGTCTACGGTCGCTTCCCGCTCTCTTTTTCTTGACCACTTCCACTCTCATTCTCATGCCATTGCAGTGTACACAGATGGCTCTAAGTCTTCTGACGGTGTAGGATTCGCAGCAGTGTTTCCGGATAGCATCGCACGAGGGCATTTACTATCTTCGGCTAGTATTTTTACTGCTGAATTGTATTCCATTCTTGCAGCACTTATCCGTATTGCATCTGTGCCTGTGTCATCATTTGTGGTTGTCTCAGACTCCCTTAGTGCTTTACAGGCTATACAGAAATTTGATACACCTCACCCCTTAGTCCTCCGTATCCAACTTTGGCTACGCCGCATCTTTACCAAACATAAAGATATTGTTTTTTGTTGGGTCCCTGGTCATGTTGACATACAGGGCAATGAACAGGCAGACACTGCTGCACGGTCAGCAGTACATGACCTACCAGTTTCATATAGAGGTATTCCATTTACGGATTATTTTGCTGCAATAGCTACCCACCTTCACACCCGTTGGCAACAAATTTGGTCTACTATGCTCGGTAACAAACTTCAGTCTATTATACCGAGTATAGGTTACTGGCCGTCTTCTTGTCACCAATGTCGAGGTTGGGAGACTACTCTCTCCTGTCTTTGCATTGGCCATACTCATCTTATTCATGGATATCTCATGGAGAGGCGCCCTGCTCCTCTCTGTGAGAATTGTCAGGTTCCATTATCAGTCAGCTACATTCTGTTAGACTGCCCACTTTATCAACGAGCACGCAGAATTTACCTCCGTCGTCGTCTTCGCTCCACTGCTCTCTCTTTACCTTCCCTTCTCGCTGATGGACCCACCTTTCATCCGGACTCTCTCATTGACTTTTTGACAACAACTGACTTCACAAACTATGATACCTTCAGCCCTTTCTACCACAATCTCTTGCTACCCTCTACCCTCGCACTATCCCCTGCCCCGCTGTTTTCTGTAACCTACTGATCATCCCTCCCTCCTTCTGCCGCCAAATACCCTCGCTTCCTTCCCTACCCTGAAGCGCTGTATAGCCCTTGTGGCTTAGCGCTTCTTTTTTATTATAATAATTGCAGCTCCTCAGTGGTTAGCTCTTCGTTGTGCTCCTCCACCAACTCTTCCACATCCTCCAAACTCACATCCAACCCTTGGAACTCCCCAATGCCACAATAGAGTTCACAACTGACGTAGGCTCATCAGGGGTCACCTCAAACCCTTCAAAATCCCTCTTGTGGACACAATCTGGCCACAATTTTCTCCAAGGAGAGTTCAAAGTCCTGGTAGTCACTCCCTCCCAAGCCTTACCTATAAGAACATAAGAACATAAGAAAGGAGGAACACTGGGGCAGGCCTGTTGGCCCATACTAGGCAGGTCCTTTACAATTCATCCCACTAACAAAACATTTGCCCAACCCAATTTTCAATGCTACCCAAGAAATAAGCTCTGATATGCAAGTCCCACTCAAATCCGACCCCTCATATTGTTCAATGACTTTTTCTTAAATTCAATCATATTTCTCACCTTCTTTACCAAAGGCTTGGCACTAGGAGCTTTCTTTGGAGCCATGGTAGCATATTTAGCACTTGCAAGCACTAAAATGAATGGAATATTATGAAATATTTTGCATGAACAAGTGAGGGGACCGTTGCTCACTGGCAAACAATGGCACACTGGCTGGGAAGGGAGGCCGAGCTATGAGTACGCGTCCAAGATGAAAGACGATTAGCGAGTCAATGGACCATTTGCAAGCCAATGTTTGGTTGAAATAACGCAACGATTTCCGAAAAGGATGACTTTTGAGCCGGACAATTATCGAGGGACCACTGTATATATAATTTCAGCTGGCTACAGCAAACCCTCAATTCTTTTGTTTGACAAACATGAAATTCCTGCATCAGAGGGTGTTCAGCAGGGTGATCCACTCGCTCCACTTCTCTTCTGCTTGGCAGTAAGAGAACTAACTTCCAGTCTATGCAGCGAGCTCAACATCTGGTACCTGGATGATGGCACATTGGCAGGTACTGAAGAGTCCTTATTAGGGAACCTACAACTGGCGAAGTCACTTGGGACTCATCCTCAATCCCTCCAAGTGTGAAATCACAAACCGAGAAATAATCAGTGCTGTGCGAACAATCCTCCTGGAAGTCTCTACTACCACTCCATCCAACAGTACCCTCTTGGGAGCACCTCTGGGACACCAGACCATCGACATGGTCCTCAAGGACAAACTGAATGACCTGAAGAGAATGGAGGAGAGAATAAGTGTTCTTGATGCCCTGTATCTCCTCACAAGGTGTCTTACAATACCAAGACTCGTGTACTTCCTGAGGTGCACACCCTCTTTTGACAACCCATCACTCAACGAATATGATGCACACCTGAGATCAACCTTTAAGAAGTCACTGAATCTGTCACTAGAGGATCGGCAATGGTATCAGGCAACCCTCCCAGTGTGACTGGGAGGTATAGGGGTGTGCAAATCAGCACAGGTAGCTTTACCTGCATTTCTGTCGTCGTGTTTGGCTTCATGATCCTAGCCCATGGTCGGGCTCAGAGAGTAGAGGAACTCTTGAAACCCTCAAAGGTACAGTGGACCCCCGGTTAACGATTTTAATCCGTGCAAGAGGGGTAATTGTTATGCGAAATAATCGCTATGTGAATGAATTTTCCCCATAAGAAATAATGGAAATCAAATTAATCCGTGCAAGACACCCAAAAGTATGAAAAAAAAAATTTTACCACATGAAATATACATTTTCCCACACACAAAGAGAAGGATACATGCACAATAGTAGAGTAGTACATGCACAGTATATATTGTGCATGTACTAGTCTACTAAATGAAGAATAAATGACACTTACCTTTATTGAAGATGCAGCAATGACTGATGAGACACTGTGTCCTGGAGTGCCTTTTCCTCCTGAGTACTGTAGGTCCTGTTTGGCATTTTCTTCCAGAACAGGCCTTATCACACTGTGTATGCCACTACGATTCTTAAATCTCTCAAACCAACCTTTGCTGGCTTTAAATTCACCAATATGAGCACTAGTTCCAGGCATTTTTCCCTGTTCACCTGGGTGTTAGTCGACTTGTGTGGGTTGCATCCTGGGAGACAAGATTAAGGACCCCAATGGAAATAAGTTAGACAGTCTTCGATGACACTGACTTTTTTGGGTTATCCTGGGTGGCAAATCCTCTGGGGTTAATTGTTTCTTGGTATTCTCAATAAGCCACACCAACAACGGTGCTACAGCAGCAGCAGCAGCTGACAGTGCAGCAGCAGCAGCAGCTGACAGTGCAGCAGCAGCAGCAGCTGACAGTGCAGCAGCAGCAGCAGCTGTACCACCAATAGTAGCGATGGTTGATTGGGGTTTATTATACAACCTGGCCAGCTCGGAGACATGCACTCCACTTTCATACTTATCAATGATCTTTTTCTTCATCTCTATTGTAATTCTCACCCTTATTGCTGTAGGGTTGGCACTAGAAGCTTTCTTGGGGCCCATGGTCACTTATTTTCCAGAAAAAGCACCGAAAACACTGTAATAATACGAAATATTCCGATTGTATGCTTGGATGTTACCGCGGAGGCTGGCTGGTAAACAATGCCACCGGCGGAACATGTGAGCGTGGCTCAGGCCGCACATTGGACGCGTCTCGGACGAAAATCGGTAAGCGGGTTTTTAAGCGGTATGTGAGGCAAAATTTTTGCAATTAAAGTTAGCGGTATGCGAAATAATCGCTATGTGATGCCATCGTTATGCGGGGGTCCACTGTATATCTAATGGATTAGTCAAGAAGATTGTTCCCAAATGCTTGAGAGACATAGGAGCTCAGGATCCCAGGTTCACTGAAGCAGCCATGTGGTGGGACACCCTTGCAGACTCCTCCAGTAGACCATCTCCTCCCAAAGAGCACAAACAGTCCCACTGGGACAAACCGATCATGGAAAAAATTGCCAACACAATGCTCACCAATGCTTCAGGAAAGGACAAAATTCGTCTTCTAGCGGTAAAGGCACCACACTCGAGAGATTTACTTCTAGCTGTTCCCAATTCCTGCCTGGGCACTCGACTCTACCCACAGGCCATTCGGATTGGTGTTGCTGTTTGCCTAGTCGCCCCCATCCTCACCGAACATAGGTGTATTTGTGGCAGGGTGATGGCTGATCAATTCGGACTTCATGGTCTCGTGTGTCACACATCAGAAGGGAAGTATGTCAGGCATGAGGAGGTCAGTGGCATAAAGAGAAGCCTCGCCACAGCCCATTTCCCAGCCCAACGGAAACTCAAGTGCAGAGGTCTGACGGAAGTCAAAAGTGTCCTGATGGAGCCAATATGCTATCCTGGAAGGATGGAAAGGAGATTGCCTGAGACTACACCTGTGCTGCCACATTGGCAGACACCTACTTCCCATATTTCATAGCTAAAGGGGGTGGAGCTGCCAGCCACAGGGAGACCCAGAAGACTCACAAATATAAAGCCCTTCCCCTTCCCCTTTCCTATAACTTCATCCCAATAGGCTCGGAGACCCATGGAGCATGGGGCAAGTGTGCTCTAAATTTCCTCAGAGCTGGATGAAAAACTCATCATAGAAACCAAGGACCACAGGGCAGCTAGCTTCCTCTTTCAGAAACTCAGTGTTGCAGTCCAGAGGGGAAATGCCTGCAATATTCTGGGTACATGGCCCACTGCTGGGGAACTGGACGAAGCATTCAAGATGTAGCTCTCAGTTATCTATGTTGTTTTACTCCCTATTGTATTTCTGTCAATGTATTTAGTCTTTAAATGAAGTATATATAAAATATAGGGGTGGTATGAGAAAACAATTTTCCAACAGCTTCAGGGAGAACCTTGAGTTTTCCCTGAAGCAAGCAACTGTCCCCAGGACAGTTCCAGAGGTGGTACCTCCTTAGACGGTGGTACCTCCCTACACAGTGGTACCTCAAGTTTCAAACAGCTACCAACTGGAATAATTATGTAAGTGTACTTTTGGGGGTCTGAAATGGACTAATCTAATTACATTATTCTTTATGGGAACAAATTTGTTTGGAATTGGCACTAACAGCCTTCTGGAACAAATTAAATTTGTAACTCAAGGTACCACTATATATATACAGGTACCATCCGACTTATGACCAAGCTTGGTTCCGACCATCTGGTTGTAAGTCAAAATGGACGTAAGTCGAACCTTACTACTGAATATCAACATCATACTTTTGTAATGATTTTATTTTATTGTTTAATTTTGGTATTTCATTTTTTACTTTACTTTTTATGCTGTTAGTATTGTATTTTATACTGTAAGGTTTAGGATAAACACTGTGTACAACACAAACAGTTGTTTATTTCCCAGAAATTTGGCATAAAAAACATGGTCGTAAGTGTTGAGTGTTGAGCAGGTCGTAAGTTGGATGACAGGTGTGTGTATATTTCTTTTTTATTTTATTTATTTATTTTTTTTAACAAGTCAGTCATCTCCCACCGAGGTAGGGTGACCCAAAAAGAAAGAAAATCCCCAAAAAGAAAATACTTTCATCATCATTCAACACTTTCACCTCACTCACACATAATCACTGTTTTTGCAAAGGTGCCCAGAATACAGCAGTTTAGAAGCATATACGTATAAAGATACGCAACATATTCCTCCAAACAGCCAATATCCTGAACCCCTCCTTTAGACTGCAGGCATTGTACTTCCCATTTCCAGGACTCAAGTCCAGCTATATAAAAATAACTGGTTTCTCTGAATCCCTTCACTAAATATTACCCTGCTCACACTCCAACAGCTCGTCAGGTCTCAAATATCATTCATCTCCATTCACTCCTATCAAACATGCTCATGCACGCTTACTGGAAGTCCAAGCCCCAAGCCCACAAAACCTCCTTTACCCCTTCCAACCTTTTCGAGGACGACCCCTACCCCGCCTTCCTTCCCCTACAGATTTATACGCTCTCCATGTCATTCTACTTTGATCCATTCTCTGTAAATGACCAAACCACCTCAACAACCCCTCTTCAGCCCTCTGACTAATACTTTTGTTAACTCCACACCTTCTCCTAATTTCCACACTCCAGATTTTCTCCATAATATTTACACCACACATTGCCCTTAGGCAGGACATCTCCACTGCCTCCAACCGCCTCCTCGCTGCAGCATTTACAACCCAAGCTTCACACCCATATAAGAGTGTTGGTATTACTATACTTTCCTACATTCCCATCTGTGCCTCCATAGACAATGTTTTTTGTCTCCACATATATCTCAATGCACCACTCACCTTTTTTCCCTCATCAATTCTATGATTAACCTTATCCTTCATAAATCCATCCGCCAACACGTCAACTCCCAAATACACCTACCATCCGACTTACGACCGAGTTTGGTTCCGAGAAACCGGTTGTAAGTCAAAATGGTCGTAAATCGAACTTTACTACTGAATATCAACAAAACATTTTTGTAATGACTTTATTTTGTTTTATTTTGGTATTTCATGTTTTACTTTACTTTTTATGTTATTAGTACTGTATTTTATACTGTAAGGTTTATGATAAACACTGTGTACAACACAAATAGTTGTTTATTTCCCAGAAATTTGGCATAAAAAACAAGGTCGTAAGTCGAGTGGTCGTAAGTCGAGCAGGTCGTAAGCCGGATGGTAGGTGTATCTGAAAATATTCACTTCTTCCATACTCCTCCTCCCCAATTTGATATCCAATTTTTCTTTATCTAAATCATTTGATACCCTCATCACCTTACTCATTTCTATGTTCACTTTCAGCTTTCTACCTTTACACACATTCCCAAACTCATCCACTAACCCTTAGACAGGACATCTCCACTGCCTCCAACCGCCTCCTTGCTGCAGCATTTACAACCCAAGCTTCAGACCCATATAAGAATGTTGGTACTACTATACTTTCATACATTCCCATCTGTGCCTCCATAGACAATGTTTTTTGTCTCCACATGTATCTCAATGCACTAACCTTTTTTCCCTCATCAATTCTATGATTAACCTCATCCTTCATAAATCCATCCGTCGACACGTCAACTCCCAGATATCTGAAAACATTCATTTCTTACATACTCCTCCCCAATTTGATATCCAATCTTTCTTTATCTAAATCATTTGATACCCTCATCACCTTACTCTTTTCTATGTTCACTTTCAACTTTCTACCTTTACACACATTCCCAAACTCATCCACTAACCTTTGTAATTTTTCTATAGAATCTCCCATAAGCACAGTATCATCAGCAAAAAGTAACTGTGTCAATTCCCATTTTGTATTTGATTCCCATAATTTAATCCCACCCCTCTTCCGAACACCCTAGCATTTACTTCTTTTACAACCCCATCTATAAATATATTAAACAGCCATGGTGACATTACACATCCCTGTCTAAGACCTACTTTACCAGGAAGTAGTCTCTCTTCTACACAACCTAACCTGAGCCTCACTATCCTCATAAAAACTCTTTACAGCATTTAGTAACTTACCACCTATTCCATATACCTGCAACATCTGCCACATTGCTCCCCTATCCACTCTATCATATGCCTTTTCTAAAATCATTAATGCAATAAAAACTTCCCTACCTTTATGTAAATACTGTTCACATATATGCTTCAATGAAAACACTTGATCTACACATCCCCTACCCACTCTGAAACCTCCTTGCTCGTCCGCAATTCTACATTCTGTCTTACCTCTAATTCTTTCAATAATAACTCTACCGTACACTTTTCCTGGTATACTCAGTAAACTTATTCCTCTATAATTTTTACAGTCTCTTTTGTCTCCCTTCCTTTTATATAAAGGGAATATCCATGCTCTCCGCCAATCCCTAGGTACCTTTCCCTCTTTCATTCATTAAACAAAAATACCAACCACTCCAACATTATATCCCCTCCTGCTTTTAACATTTCTGTCATGATCCCATCAGTTTCAGCTGCTTTACCCCCTTTCATTCTATGTAATGCGTCATGCACCTCCCCCAAACTCACATCCCATTCTTCACTCCTAAAAGATGGTATACCTCCCTGGCCAGTGTGTGAAATTACTGCCTCCCTTTCTTCGTCGACATTTAAAAGTTCCTCAAAATATTCTCGCCATCTACCAAATACCTCCATCTCCTCATCTACTAACTCCCCTACTCTGTTTTTAACTGACAAATCTATTCATTCCTTAGGCTTTCTTAACTTGTTTAACTCAAAAAATTTTTCTTATTTTCTTTAAAATTTCTTGACAGTGCCTCTCCCATTCTATCATCTGCACTCCTTTTGTACTCTCTCACCACTGTTCACCTTTCTTTTATTCTCCATATACTCTATTCTGCTTTCAACACTTCTGCTTTGTAAAAACCTCTCATAAGCTAACTTTTTCTCTTTTATCAAACCCTTTACTTCATCATTCCACCAATCACTCCTCTTTCCTCCTGCACCCACCCTCCTATAACCACAAACTTCTTCCCCACATTCTAATACTGCATTTTTAAAACTATTCCAACCCTCTTCAACCCCCTCCCCACTACTCATACCTGCACCAGCCCACCTTTTTGCCAGTAGTTGCTTATATCTCACCCAAACTTCCTCCTCCCTTAGTTTATACACTTACACCTCCCTCTTACTTGTTGCCATTTTCCTCTTTTCCCATCTACCTCTTACTCTCACTGTAGCTACAACTAAATAATGATCCGATATATCAGTTGTCCCTCTATAAACGTGTACATCCTGGAGCCTACTCATCAACCTTTTATCCACCAATACAAAATCTAACAAACTACTTTCATTATGTGTAATATCATACCTTGTATATTTATTTATCCTCTTCTTCATAAAATACGTATTATTACAAAACCTCTTTCTACACATAGCTCAATTAAAGGCTCCCCATTTTCATTTACCCCTGGCACCCCAAATTTACCTACTACTCCCTTCACAACATTTTTGCCCACTTTAGCATTGAAATCCTCAACCACCATTACTCTCACACTTGGTTCAAAACTCCCCATGCATTCACTCAACATTTCCCAAAATCTCTCTCCTCTACACTTCTATCTTCTCCAGGTGCATATACACTTACTATAACCCACTTTTTACATCCAACCTTTATTTTACTTCACATAATCCTTGAATTAATACATTTATAGTCCCTCTTTTCCTGCCATAGCTTATCCTTCAACATTATTGCTACTCCTTCTTTAGCTCTAACTCTATTTGAAACCCCTGACCTAATCCCATTTATTCCTCTCCACTAAAATTCTCCCACCCCCTTCAGCTTTGTTTCACTTAAAGCCAGGACATCCAGCTTCTTCTCATTCATAACATCCACAGTCATCTCTTTCTTATCATCTGCACAACATCCACGCACATTCAGACTTCCCACTTTGACAATTTTCTTCTTATTCTTTTTTGTAATTATTACAGGAAAAAGGGTTACTAGCCCATTGTTCTCGGCATTTTAGTTGATTTTTACAACACGCATGGCTTACGGAGGAAAGATTCTTATTCCACTTCCCCATGGACATAAAAGGAAAAGTAATGAAACCAAGAACTATTAAGATAAAATCAAAGAAAACTCAGATGAGTGTGTATAAATAAACATGTACATGTATGTGTAGTGTGACCTAAGTGTAAGTAGAAGTAGCAAGACGTACCTGTAATCTTGCATATTTATGAGACAGACAAAAGACACCAGCAATCCTTCCATCATGTAAAAAAGTTACCAGCTTTTGTTTTACACTCACTTGGCAGGACAGTAGTACCTCCCTGAGTGGTTGCTATCTACTAACCTACCAACATACATACATACATATATATATATATATAATATATATATATATATATATATATATATATATATATATATAATATATATATATATATATATATATATATATATAATATATATATAAACACTGACCTCTGGCTGAAGGAGACTTGAACCTACGAACCTTAGGACAAGGTACGCAGTGCTTTACCAATCTACCCACACTGGACAATACCTTGGCATGTAGCATGCGCTACACGTTTGATCCAAGGCAGCCAGCTTTCAGGGAGAAGGCTTACAGCTTTTCATCTCATCCCCTGCATGCATCAGCCTTACTAGAGATTTGAACAATGCAAGGAATTCGCGAGAGCAGCTGAAAGCTGGCTGCCTTGGATCAAACGTGTAGCGCATGGTGCACGCCAAGGTATTGTCCAGTGTGGGTAGATTGGTAAAGCACTGCGTACCTTGTCCTACGGTTTGTAGGTTCGAGTCTCCTTCAGCAAGAGATCAGTGTCTGTGTATATTTCGCCTGCTCTCGCGAATTCCTTGCGCATATATATATATATATATATATATATATATATATATAATATATATATATATATATATATATATATATATATATATATATATATATATATATGTATATATATATATATACATATATACATATATTAACACAATTGTTGGCCCCAAAAAGAAAAACTTTCACCATCATTCACTCCATCACTGTCTTGTCAGAGGCATGCTTGCACTACATTTATAACACTGCAACATTAACACCTCTCCTTCAGAGTGCAGGCACTGTATGTATATACAGTAGGGCCCTGCTTTATGGCGTTCCGCTAATACGGCGATGTCAAATTATGACCAAAATTTGCTATACGGCAAGCGGTCTCTCAAATACGGCACGCCCCACCCGATTTGTTTACGTTCTCGGTGACCACATCTATTATGTCAGGAAACTTTCCAAAATTTCAAGTGTTTTAAAGTTACTGCGTATTTTATATGTACTCTGATAATTATACTTATGTGTACCTGTACTTACACACTGTGCTGGTGTGCAGGTACACATTAAGATTGCTAAGTCTCTCCACTCATGATGCCAATACTATGTAATAATAATCACTCTTGGGCACATTAAACATCTTATTTTACATTAATATAGGCATTTTCATTAATCCATCTATGATATTTTCCTCAAAATTATATATGAAATCTGTTATGTAGCATATAAACATGATACATACACTCACAGAATAAAAATTGACGTAAATATGAGATTTGTTTAAAAAGTGGCTGTGTGGGCAGTGTCGGAAGAATTACGTTTTCTCTAGTCAAACTGCGGGATAACTAGAAAAATATTCTATTCGTATGCCTTCGCTCTATATATAGCAATTCATGACCCTTGTGGGTTTAGTACTTTTTAGTAAGATAGTAATAATAATATCTTCATTCACTCTAAAAATGGTGTGTTGCTGTTTGCTTATTCTGTACTAACGTGTACAACTTGTACACAATGTAAGAGTTGTATTGTGAGGTAATTATTATTATAAAAAAAAAAAACGTACGTGAACGTACGTGAATGAATTAAAAGTAGACACATATTAATACGTATTTATTTCGCCTGACCTAGTGATCGCCCACTACCTGTTCAGTTTGTGTTCTTACATTGTCTGAACTCTGTATCTTGTTCTCTCTCTCGTTTACTCTTTTGTTAACTAGTTGGCCCTCATTGACGATGGCGTCTAAGCTTAGCTGTGATAAAAAGAGGAGTCGTAAGACTCTTGCTTTAAGTGCCAAGTTAGAGGATGATGGTGTGCCATTCTGATTTTATTCAGTAAACACCCTGCCAGTCGCCTCTCACACATTAACCCTTTCAGGGTTTTGGCCGTACTAGTACGGCTTACGCGCAGGGATTTTTGACGTACTAGTATGCATAAATTCTAGCTCCGTCAAATCTCGCGGGAAAAGGCTGGTAGGCCTGGATGTGAGAGAATGGGTCTGTGTGGTGGGTGTGCGTACTAGGAAAAAAATCTGGGACCCAGTGGTGAATTGTGGGAATGCCATCTTAGTACACAATGTCCACCATGCCTCGCGGTAAGAAGTTCCTCACTCCTCGGCGAATTGGGACACTTTTGTTCCCCAGTGACAGTTCTAATACAGATGGAAGTGACAGTGAAGATGAGTTTCAAGGTTTTGGTGAGGTTTTGACCGAAACTAATGACCATAATATCGGTAATAGTGAGGAAAACCCAGACGACCCTCAGCCTTCTCCCTCTGGTGCTGGGCCATCTTGTTCACGTTCAGTTGTACAAGAATCATAGAGGAAACTCCTATTTTTCCAAATCCCAGACTCAGATGTGAGCATTTGTGATGATAGTGGTAGTGATTATGAACTACAAGCTCTTCAAACTAGTTCCAGTAGTGATAGTGAAGTGCAATATTCCCCAGTGAAACGTCAGTATATACGACGATATATGCGCTCTAATAGTGTGCCATATACTATTCCAAGGGGAAGGAGTACATCTAGGAGTATGTCCCGTGGCTGTACAACAGGAACTGACAGTGAAAATGACGATGATACTGTTGCAATTGGAATGGAAAATATGCATGGTGGTGGTGCCGGGTGTGAGGCAGCAGCAGTGGCCCATGCTGCCACCCATCCTGCCACCCATGATGCCACCCATGCCACTGCCTCAGCTGATCTACAACAAAGGCCACCATCCCCCACCCACCCACCACACCAGCCTCCACAACCACAACCTCCACAACCACAGCCTCCACAACCACAACCTCCACAACCACAACCTCCACAACCACAACCTCCACAACCACAACCTCCACAACCACAACCACCTGTCATTGTCCAGTACCCGCCAGCAGACCGCACCTGGGATTGGCAGGAAGCTGTCAATTTTGTTCCACATCCCCACCAGTTTGATGACAGCCAAAGTGGTATACGGCCATCCTGTACACTTGGGAACAATGCCACTGAACTTGAATGTTTCGAGTTATTCTTTGACGAACCCCTGATGGAAAGTATTGTCATGGAAAGCAACACATGCTACGAGTACACCATGACAAACACAATACTTATACCAAAATCACGTCTACACCAGTGGAAGGAGACAAATGTGGCTGAGATGTATCTTTTCTTTGCCACAATAATGCTTATGCCACATGTGTATAAGCACAGTGTGAAATCATACTTGTCAACAGACCGCCTGATTGCAACCCCAGGTTTCAGTGATATATTGCCAGTGAATCGCTTTGTGCTAATGTTACGTATGCTTCACTTCTCAGACAAAACCAGGCCTGACAGAACTGACAGGTTATATAAGATCAGGCATGTGTTTGTGTATCTGAAAGAGAAATTCAGTATGTATTTTTATCCCTTCAGGAAGCTTGTAATTGATGAGTCTTTGATTCTGTTCAAAGGAAGACTCAAGCAGTCCATACCAAGGAAGAGGAAACGCTTTGGTATAAAGTTGTTTGTGCTTTGTGATTGTTACAGTGGTCTGGTATTGGATATTATTGTGTACACTGGAAGTTATACATCACAAAATACCAGGAAGTTAGTGGGCATCTCTGGTGATGTGGTTAGAACGATAGAAGCATACCTTGGTAAGGGGCATATATTATATACAGATAACTGGTACACAAGCCCCTCACTTAGTGATTTTTTGCGAGTGAACATGACAGATGTGTGTGGCACAGTGCATGCAAATCATAAACATATGCCCAGGTTTGACGCTGGCACTCTTAGAGGTGAGGTGCAGGCGTTTGCTGCCAATGACATCATGGCATTTCGGTGGCATGACAAACGAGATGTCACACTTGTCATCAGTTCACCCTAATGAAATGGCAGGCACTGGCAGGCAGCATAGAGAAAGCAATGAACCCATTCTAAAACCTGCAGCTCTGATGGACTACACCCTCATTATACATTCAGTGGACAAATGTGACGTGCAGATTGGGTTTGCTGATTGTGTTCACAAGAGTTATAAGTGGTACATAAAATCTTTTTTCCATCTTCTGGACATTTCCATGTTGAATGCTTATAATATGTATAAGATGAGGACCAGAAACAAACCACCATACAGTGAATTCTGCTTGTCTGTCATCAGACAAATAATATTCAAGTACCAAGGAACAACACCTGCAATAGACCGCCCACCAAATTTTCGACAACTTCCTTCTCGTTTGAAGCATGGTGATCACTTCCTGGTAAAACTGCCTGCTACTGCTTTCAAGAAAAAGGCTCAGAAGAGGTGTTACGTCTGTGCACATACAAGAAAACGCCCACAACAGCGCAGAGACACTCGTTTTATGTGTGAGGAATGTAAAACACCACTGTGCATGACACCATGTTTCAAAGACTTCCACAGGCTGCAGAACTTCTAGAAACATTCCCTGTGACTGTATGTGTATATAAAATATAGAAAAATAGTAATAAACAACATTTCATATCGTTTGTGTAAATACAGTGGTCCCTCGCTTTTCGTAGTTCTCGGCAATCGTAAATTTCGCAAATCATAGGGGTATTTTCGTATAAACATGGACTCGCTTTTCATAGGTTGACTCGCGAATAGTAGTACGTCCAGGACGCTTACGCACGGTGTGAGCCGGGGAGGCCTCCCTACCCAGCCAGTCTGGCATTGTTTACCAGTGAGTGAAGGTCCCCTCAAGTGCTCCTACGAAATATTTCATAATATTCCACTCATTTTAGTGCTTGCAAGTACTAAATAAGCTACCATGGCTCCAAAGAAAGCTAGTGCCAAGCCTGTGGTAAAGAAGGTGAGAAATATGTAAGTGACAAAGTCTTGTACCATTTTAGGGAAGTGTTAAAGAGACGCCAGAAACAGCTTTCTCCACAGTTACTTTGCGAGACAGGACTAGAGTGACTCTCAAGGTGGTCCTAGTGGCATTAAGAAACAGAGAAGAGAAGCAACCCCAGAGAAGCAATTGGTACCTGAGGTGTTGCTGGAAGGGGATTCCCCTTCCAA